ACAAACACCCACCTCTCCGCCTCTTCCAAGGAACGAGGGGATCGTGCGGCAGAGTTTCAGTTAGATTTGTTTTCGCCGGTCAACATGTCCGTTAAAGTTTAAATCTTCCGGACAAAATTAGAAAAGTGCCGGTCAAAGGTCTTCTTTGTTATTTATTGAGCTTTAAAACAAATGAATAATGACTATATAATCATATAAGAATAAAACACAGAGGACGGAGATCTCTTTTCCTCCCCCTCTTCTGACAGCCCAGCAGCTGATCTCAAAGCATGCTCCCCTCTCCTGCAGGGGGGCGTGGTCAGCTGCAGCTCATTTGCCACAGAATCAGCCCTTGAAAAAACAGGGCTGGAAAGAGCAAATAGAGCGAAATGAGGCATGGCTAAAATGCAGGATCTGTTTGGTATTTTGAAAAAAAAACTTCACAGACATGTTTTATATAGGTATGGCCCTACAATATATTGTTCAAATATAGCATGTAGGTCCACTTTCATTCAAGAATGAAGACATACTTCTTTATTTTCAAACCTGTAAGCTTCTTAGTTAAACCAAAACAGCAGAAATGTTTTGTATATATTATATCTATTTAATGTTGTTTGCAACAGTGGGAAAAAGACACCAATTGCAGCATGTGTCAGAGAAACGTGTGACGCTTTTTAAGTTGCTCAAGAAAATTACACAATCACATTATCCAGCCACAAAATACAAGCCAAACTATTTTCCTGTAATTCTTCATCTTCTTCACGTGTCTGACAGTAGCTGCTGTTCTCACCTGGAAGGCTTTGTTGAGCCAGAGCACGGAGCAGGACGTCATGTTGCCGATCCAGTGCAGGTTCCCAGAGATTAGATGGGACTCATTCAGCCAGCAGCCAAACACATCGTACGGCTTGTTCCTCACACGCGACAGCAACGTGTAATTATCTGTGTGTTAAGAGACATGAGGAGAAGGAGAAGCACAAGGTCAGGAGAGACTACCACTAATGATTGGGAAAAATAAAAGATGTACTTCAACAGAAAATGACGAGGCATGACTGTTTTGGTATTTCCGTTGTACTTACCCAGACTAATGACAGCTATTTCCCCAGACGAGGAGTGGTGGGGTCCCAGGTAAACCCCGGACACCAGCAGCAGGGTGTCGTCAGCATTGAACTGGGAGAACTGGGTGTAGCCCCAGTTGAACTGCCGCATGCTGGAGCTGTGCACCATGGAGATATTTCCATCTGGCCGCTCTGTGTCCCATAGCTGCACACAGGAAGCCAGAGGACAGGATAAGAAAGAAAAGAGAGGGAATGTTTATCCTTCAAATAATCCAGAAAATAAATGTTGCAATAAAAGTAACCTGAATAATGGTTTAATGCCTACCTTAACGGTGCAGTCTTTGGAGCAGGAGGAGAAGCGGTGACCCCGGTGAGAGAAGGCCAGGTGGAGGACTTGGTCAGTGTGCTCTACCAGCGTCTGAACCTCCACACAGGGGATGCAGTCAAACAAACGCTTGAACTCCCTGTACCATGACACCGATGCTGCACAGAGGAAGATAAGGGGATATTTAAAGTTGTAAACAGTCCAATAATTGATCAACGAAGCTGTTCTCAGTGACTTTTGTTTTGACTTCTTCAGTGACATTTGATTATTTACCTGGGTGTCGAGGTACAGAGTGAGGTATGCGGTAGAAGCTGTAGAACAGCTCCCTCCACAGGAACTCATCTCTGGAGACGGCCAGCCACTGTCTGCAGACCAGACCAGCGCTCAGCACGGCTTCATGGGGCAGACGCAGGAAGATCTCCAACACCAGGCTGTCCGGCAGAACTGGCCCACACTCCATCCTAACATCCTGTGTCACACACACACACACACACACACACACACACACACACACACACACACACACACACACACACACACACACACACACACACACACACACACACACACACACACACACACACACACACACACACACACACACATCACACACACACACACACACACACACACACACACACACACACACACACACACACACACACACACACACACACACACACACACACACACACACACACACACACACACACACACACACACACACACACACACACACACACACACACACACACACACACACACACACACACACACACACACACACACAACTTTAACCCCTTAACAGAGTTCTGCTGTCATTAAAGAAAATAATAATAATGTGCAGCACTACTATGAACTGAGGAAAAGAATTGAGGAGAGAAACTCTGAAACTGCATAGGTATAATCATTTTCATATTCTTTTGCCCACTGCACCCTTAAATAACTGCAGCCCCCTCCCCCTCTCAGGAGACTAATTTGAGCCCGGCAGCTGGGAGCTGTCCTTCTGGTTTGTGTTACAATGCACTGGTTCCAGCACTGATCTGTGTTCAGCCAAACAGGTCTCCTGCTGTCAGAGCAGCTCGATAAAGCTATCACCATCATGTTTAGCATGTCAGTACATTTACAGATACTCCATAATGGCCTCTTACCGTGTAATTTTTTACTCAGAGCTGCCTATGTTGCAAATGTATTATCTTTTCAATTTACACACGGCATCTATTGCACGTCTGTCCGTCCTGGGAGAGGGATCCCTCCTCTGTTGCTCTCCCTGAGGTTTCTCCCATGTTCCCTTTAAACTGTGGGTTTTCTCCGGAAGTTTTTCCTTGTACGATGTGAGGGTCTAAGGACAGAGGGTGTCGTATTGTCATACTGATATTCTGTACAAACTGTGAAGTCCACTGAGACAAATGTAACATGTGTGATATTGGGCTATATAAATAAACATTGATTAATTGGTTGGTTGATTGATTGATTGATTGATTGATAGAAAAAGGGAAGCATAAAGAAGGCGTTTATGTACAAAAGCAGAATGGGACAGAGCCATGCCAGCGTGGCATTTCCTCAATAACGAGCTAAAAAAAAAGGGGTTTCAAGCTAATACACTTAATCACAATCAACCAGTCTTCCTCCTTCTAAATGAATGCAGCTCTTCTCTGGAGAAACAACCCGTCGTGTGAAGATGACCTAACATGGACATTTTCTTTCACTGTGCGTAAAACTCCTAACAAGTTACTGTGATTACACTGATAATAAACTGCCCAGCATTCATACTGTCCTACGACACATTAACTAGCTACAAATCTGACATTTAGCTGGCATTCTGTTTGTTCAGCAAAATCCGTGAACAGATTCATTTATAGCTATGCTAACCAGAAATGTCAATCCAGCTAAAGTTAAGCTAAGCTAGCTAACTAGCTGTTAGCTGACATTTGTTTTCAACTTATAACTACGACATTTATTTCTGGGAACTCGCGGTTACTTTCACAAACAGATGCTTTCGTTTCAGTTGTAAATAAGCTTGGCTCAGTACAAAGTTGTTGACATAAACTATGACCCACCTGCTGGAACAAAGTATGTTGGAGAGAAATCAAACGGATAGCTAGCAGTAAAGGCTAGCCACAGAAAAATGACAACAATCCTCCACAGCAGCGGTGAATCGACCGGAATCAGACTCTACCAACAGATCACAACATCATCGCGCCAACAAGGCCAAATCAATCTATCCCTGATCTGATAATGATATCCCTGGACCGTTTTAGAAAATAATAGAACAGTAATAGTGTGCAGTCCTTCTGGAAGATTGTTTCTCATTATGTTGTCCTTTTGCTAGTTTTTTTTATTTTCTATTAATTATTTATTTTGTCCATTTTTTGTATTTCTTTACTAAAAAAAATAACAACAACATTGTCGTTATTATATTTAACTTAACTTGTTTGATTACAATGTCTATATTAAAGTATTTCCTGATTTTCATACAGCTCTATGAAACCATTAAACCCTTACCCTGACATTGTTTATGAAACGTGAAGCTTACTAAATACTTCAACACCTCTACGTCTCAGAAGCAAATATTGCACATGTTTAAATCATTAAAAACTGGCTTCACCTTTACCAGCTGCAACACTAAAGTGATGTACATGCATTAATCATCATTATCCAATAATATAGGCTAATATGCTGCTCTGAAATTAATCATTCTGAAAGAAAAAACCGTTTACTTTGATGTAAACATTCTTCCAAATGTTAGACATAGTATGACTAACTGTGGTATTGTTACTTCTACCTTAAATATCCGAGTATTGTTTACCTCTGTTCATTTCCTAACTTGTGTTTTATTTAACCTTTATTTAACCAGATAAAAGCATTGAGATAAAATCTCATTTGCAATGCTGACCTGGCCAAGAAGGCAGCAACGTTACACATAACACAAACATATAAAATACAGAGAACATAACTAAGAAAACAAAAGATGAAAAAGCAGTCACTACATTGTGCACATTAGGACAGTAAGAAAGGTGCACTACTTATTACTGCAAGAGCAGCTGGTGGTAAGGACTTCAGACAACTTCAATTTAAAACATGCTATTGAGACAAGTGCCGTCAGTTTGAGGCTTGATTGAAGGTAATTCCAAGACCAAGGACCACTTATTCTTCACATTTTGAAAAAATGACATTTGTTTCCTTTATTTTTACAACCTCTATAGCTTTATCTGGAAATGGTGAAGATTACAAATTGAGAAATAAGAACTACTAATACTTTATTTTTGGCTTTAAAATGACACAATCATTTTGTCACTTCATATATCTAATAAAACATACAATACTTCCCAGTCTTTGCACCTTGATTGCAGTTGTTATCACAACCAAATGCTCATGATAGACATATGACTTGTTATTTGTGTTACACTTAGGATGAAAAGATCCCTCATCATTGTCTGTTCTTATCTTACTGCCAGTGCACTACCTCCTTTATTCCTCATTGTCATGTCTTTGAAGTGAATGTGCAAGGGAAACATAAGTAATACTATACTTCCTGTATCTATGTGGTGACCCTGAGTACCAGTGTCTCTGTAGGGCAGAAATGCTGTGTCATTGTCTTATAGTGTATGTCAGTGCAGACACATCATTACACTGACCACAAGGAAGCAGATGACTTCAAGACACACTGATACGGAATAACGTAAAGTGGAGCCATGCTATGACTGCTGTTCTTCGGTGAGTATTCAAACATCATAATACAATTTTATGGCAACATGCTTCCTAAAAAAATGTCTTTGTGATGAGATACATATACAGCATTATTATTTTGGTGAGGAACCATTTGAATAAAGCCTTGATTCCTCTTGTTTAATCTTACTCTATTTTAGATTTTAATCATACCTGCACTTTACTTTCACCATTATGTCTCTCGCAATTTTTTATTTATTTTTTATGTCTTCACTTTAGTTAAAATTATTGGAGGAGCTTGGGATTTAATGTTTGCATTTCCAACTACATTAACTGTTGTGCATTTGACAAAGAAGACTGTACATCTTTGAATCAATGAATAACCTGAACAAACATAGTATGCTATAGTAAAATGGAGCACCTGATAGGGGTGGAGTCAGGTTACCTGCCACAACATCATCTCACCAGCAGTGTGGCGGATATACAAACAGATAAAAGAATAATTAATGTCTGCTACACATTGTCTTCCTTCAGTTCTGCGCCATGCCTCTGAGATGGTAGCTTCTTGCTGTGGTTCTCCAAAGAAGGACAGGACTACAGCAGGATGTCTATACCAGGATAAAGGTGCTTTTAGTTTGGGTGAGATGGTACCATTTTTTAAATAAGTATTCATGTAGATGGTCTAAACTGTCTGGTGTTCTTCAAGGTGATGAGCAGAACGTGTGGACAGTCTCCAGTGATGGAAAAACATCCAGTCAAAATCCTTCCTAATTCCTCTGGGAAGAGGAGAAGCCCACCTTTCTCCTCCATTTTATTTATTTCTTAAATGTATTTATTTGCAGCATGTTGATCTGTGTTGCTCTGTTCTTGTTTTAATGATGACTTGTCCTAAAAACTCCTTGTTGAGAAGTTGGGTCATGTCTGACAGCAGACAAGTTCAGCAGTGGCTCAAAGGTTAACATTTACTGTATGTACACAACATTTATATGGGAGAAATGCAATGTGGTCAGCACAGAAAAGACATCCAGTCACAAGTCACATAAATAAATGGTTGTAAAGATCATGTATCAATATAAACAGTGTTATTAAAGTGTCCGTCCATTGATTCTGCAGGAAAAGCACACTTTTCGCTCAAGACTCTTTTTTCCTGGGTATCTGGCGCCATCGTGTGGAATAAAAAGGATCTGCAACTACCTGTTGCCTGAAGAGAGACAGAAAACTGGTTCATTTAATAATAAGATGTTATATTTGAATAATATTATATAATATATAACAAGTTTTCACTCGCTAGCTCATCATAAGGAACTTACTAAATAACTAAATTGGAGTACACAATATGGTCCTCCATTCACAACTGCGCATAAAGTGTAAAAAAAACACATTTAAGAAAAAACGATGATAGGCATATATTTCAAAAAATGTTTGCCGTTATTATCAATTAAATGTTTTAAGCTGGAAATAAAATAGTCTTTGGGCCATTTTACAGTTTAATAAATACATTAAAAACACATGCACCCAGACTCAGCATAACATAACAACACCTGCCAAAAATAAGGTTAACATTTAATTTCGAGAAATCACTTCTGTACAGGACAAGTTGCCACTATGGGTTAATACATTCAGAATTACAATCATTCAGAATGATTGTTTCATGTCAAAAAGTGCACTTATAAAATAAGTGTTTAAGTGATGGACTCTTTCCTCTTGAATGGTATTTTATCTTTGAAAGTGCATTTAATTAAACTACACTATGCTATATTATGGACAGTTATATTTTGTTCATCTCATACTATTATTAAAAGATAAATCACTGTCAACCACACGAAAGAGAAGTAAACAAAATGTTGTAATATCATATCATATTTATTTAGAATAGAAGAGAGCACAAATGTATTTACATTCACATGTACAGTAGCTACTATACAATCTTACAATTACACAACAGTACAGTCTGTGCAAGTTTAAAGTGACAATCTCAGTTTACAGTGTGTGGATGCGGCTGAAACAATGTACACTGGATTCTACTCGCTGTACAAACCTCTGACTGTGTTTCACCTGAGCAGGTGAGGATGTGACGCAGAATAAACACAGTGTAAATATGACAGTGATATATGACACTTGGTTTAAAGATTACACAGTAAACAACATGTTTTGAAAAATCTTCAGAGTTGCACTTCAGCATCATCACTATAAGCAATACAAAAAGGCAACATATTCAAATGTCTTTGTGAGATGCTTTATCACATCAGTTCAGTTCCTTATGAAGGCCTGTCTCATCATCTGGGTCCATTTTTACTTCTCCCCTCGTCTAAAGTGCAGCGTTGCCTGTCTGTCCCCTCCATGTTCCTGTCATCATAGCACCATGGTGGGGATGTGGTGCACCATGGGGGGCATCTGGTGCTGGTGGGACATGACTGACATCTGCTGGGGAGGGGGGGACACTTTGGATGCCATCTCTGCCGCGTGTGCCATCGGTTTGTGCCGCGCACTCTTCTGGTGCGCCCTGAGGCCTGCCAACTGGGAGTACGCGCTCTGACACACGTGGCACTTGTAGGGCCTCTCGCCGGTGTGCAGGCGCACGTGGTTCCGGAGCGTGGAGGACTGGCTGAAGCGGCGGTTGCAGAAGCGGCAGACGAAGGGCTTGTCTAGCGTGTGAATGCGCATGTGAGAGCGCAGGTTGCTGCGGGAGTTGAAGCCACGGTGGCAGATGACGCAGCGCATGCGACCTACTGTGGTGGTAAGGGCTGGAGGGGAGCACGAGGCAGGGCCGTCACAAGGGTGGGCCTCATCTGAGAGAGGAAACACAAAGGGGGGAGGATTAGTTTAAAGTTTGGCTCAGATTTCGGCTGCTTAGTTAGTGTTTTATTTTCTATGTTATTCTGTATATTTTTATAGTGTCTAGATACTCTCTTGAATATATGTATTTTCTTCTGAAAAAATGTATATTGTTTTTAGTTTTTACATTTAAAATGTGTTTTTCTTATTTTTTTTATTATAAGTGACTGTCAAAATGCTGTTGTGAAAAAACTATTTCCCAACTTTGGATAAATCTATCTATCTATCCGTGTGTTTTTAGTCTAAGAAATAATAAAAGCAATGTATCAGAACAAACAACAATGATATCAACTGGCTCATGTAGCCTATGTTGACCACGAACAGATACAAAAAGCTGTAACCCTTAACATTGTTACATCAAATGACTCACCTCTGGCTTTCTTCAGGTGTTCCTCGTCTATTCCCGGAACTCCAGGGATTCCCAGGAATGTGTTGAGGGTGTTTCCGTACCAGACAAGAAGTTCCTGGTCCGGTGGGATAGTCTGAGAAAAACAGGGGAAATGGTCAGCAAATAAATATGTGATTTAAAGTTGCTTCTCTGGTGCAATCATACGACCAAAGATGCCAAACAGACATCACATAATCCATTTGGGCCAACAGGCGGCGCTGCTCTAAAATAAATTGACATACTTGTTGGTTGTCAATAAAACCTATTCAGTCGCCACAGGGCCGAGTCCTTGTTTATAGATCAACAGAATTAAAGTCTATTCTCACCTCCACTGCCTTGTAGAAGATGCTGCTGCCGATCTGCACCACCTCCAGGTTTTGCTCCTGCTCATTCCTTGCGCACTTTATGTAAGTCATCCAGCTGCGTTGGTCCTCCTGACTGGCATCGATGAAGTAGCGCACCGTGCCGTCTTCATTGAACACCTGAGCGCACAACAGCGAGGAAAACATTTGTCAACATAAGGCGGAAGTAATAAAACACAGACTCTGGATCATGGACGGTCTAACACTGCTTGGACCCCCCTGTGCTTTGCTCGGCCTAAGATAACATACATGTTTTATTTTCCAGGATGAAATTAAATAAATTGAAACTAAGTTACTGAAACAATTTTTTTTTAATGAAAATAAATATCAACAAATATTAATGAATAAAATAAAAACTAAGTTTGGCTGCATACATATTGTATTTATTAACCAAAACTGCATTTAGGTTAAGTAAGTAACTATACTAAAAATGTAACAAAGTAATTGACTCACATTCTGTTATTAAAACAAAAATAATGGTATTAAAAAATATATGTTGTGCACTATGATTTTATGCTGAACTGAAAAAGATTGAATCTTGAACACTGTTGGAACAATTGATCTGGTCATATCATATTCATCCATTACAAAATGGGATCATTAAAAAACATTATTCTCTGCTCACCTCCCACATTAGGTTGTTATTCTTCAGCAGGTCCACGTGCTCCGGAGATATGACCCTCCCTGTGAACGGGCCCATCTCGGCCCCTGCTTTGATCCAGGTCTTTGAGAAGATGCCCAGACCCTCTCCAGGGATGGAGCTCTGCGCGATGATCACCTCACTGGGCAGCACCAGGCTGGACAGCTTCTGCACCTCTGCACAAAGAAGAAAAAATAAAGGGAAACATGTCAGAAAACATTATATCTGTTTTAATGCCCGAGTAATACTGCGCAAAAATGCAGCTCCAGGAGACTAAACTGTTCAGCAGGATCTCATGACACAGGATTGCTGAAAAAGTCCTGAAAGCAGCAAATGGACTGGATCTTATTTTAGTCACGAAATATTAAGCTACACCTTATCCTCCGTTTAATTCGATTATCTGGTTGAATTGAAACTTTTTGTTGTGCAGAAAAACTCCATAGGAAAGCATTTTCATCCGCACCAGAAAGGGAGAAAAGAAAAAACCGTGCGGTTCTTTAATGTCAAAATCAAAGATTTTTTTCTGTGAGCCGAGCCGAGCAGGGGTTAAATGGTCCTCTATTGCCCAGGGTCCAACAATTTGTCATGCTTCAGATGTGATATTCATTAAAGTTTACTGGAAAAGAAACGGCTAATTCCAAATTCATTATCCTTTTAAGAACTTTGTAGCAATAAATTTGCGCTGAAAGAAACTAGGACTTGTTTAAAAGACTCAGGAATTTCGGCAACAAAAAAATGGAAAGGCGATTAGATGGTTGACATGCAATGAATAGCATTAGATTTAGCCTTCACGGTGCATTATGCGAGGAACAGCAAATCTTTTAAGGAGAGAGAAAGAGAAAAGCTCCGGAGCCCCATAGCTGCCAAGAGAGGAAAAGAGACTGTCCGGAGATTGATGAATGCGGGATAAAAACCCGGGACATCTCAAAGAAAAGAAACCTTTCTCTCCTCGAGGTTTAAGTGGAAACTTTCCCAGGTCAAGCACAAAGTTAACCAAATGAATTTAATGCCCTGCGTCTTTCAATCAGCGGCAGTTACACGCCTAACATGCCTCTAAACGCGAGGAGCAGAGCTCTATAGGGTTAACGCGTTTAATGGGTCGAAATAAAAGCAGTAAACTGAGAGAAAATGCAGAAAAACAGCAACAAGTTAGTGGGAAAACTTTGGTAAATAAATGTTTGGGACAGAAAGGGAAGTTTATTTTAGTGTCTCTGCAGGATGTGGGATTTTTTTGAAGTTCAATTATTATTATTAAATGGGGAAAAACCCAAATGTGGCTGTAATTGTAATTACAAAAAAAGTCCTTATGGAGTTCAGTGATTCACTTTTTCGGAAATTGCATACGGGGACACAAAAAAAGAAAAAGTTAAATCATATTTTTTATTTCCATAAAAAACACATTAAATACAAAATATATATACTGGAATTAGGCAGCAAACATGCACTTAAAAGGCCCAAACATGCACAACAGTATGATGAAACAGAATGTACATGTATGAAAATAGCCCCATAATAAAGCAGAATGTCAGCCTACCTCCGACGAAGGACTGCGCCAGCACCTCGGCGGTGAACGCGGTCTTGGGGCTGCTGCTGTGCCGCTCCTCCGCCAGGTGTTCTCCCAGCACGTTCCTCCACCTGCCGTACAGGAAGCTGTGCAGAATGTCCGAGGTGATCACGTCTGACAGCGAGCGGCTCGGACACTTAAATCCAGACTTGAGTGCCAAATCGTCTGCGGGTAATACGGAGCCCATGTTGCAAATCAAAAAAGAAAGCCCCCTAAAATAAAAACAGCTGCAAGTGGAGAAAAAGAAGCAAAAGGAGTATAGGAGAAGAGTTGGACACCGAGAGCTGCTCCTCAGTGCGTCCTGGTACTGCAGACTGTCTGTGCGTAAAGCTGCCCTGCAGACTGTGAGGGTCCCTTTATATAAGTGGCTGGTGTGACCCCTGTCTAATTACTTATTAATGGCACACCCCTCACCAGGAGGACCTGCCCGCTGCAGCGCACCAGCAGAGACACTGAAACACACAGCAGACAACCAATAAGAGGGGCCACACGTTATTTTAGTCTATCTGCACTTAATGCATAATCATTTCAATTAAAGCGAGGTTTTTTTGATAGCTGCAAATACATCATAATTGCGTAAAATGATAATAAATGCGTTTTTAATTATTTTTAAGATAAAAAAATGTAAAGTTTAGTGCTAAAAAAAAGCCTAGTATTGCAAAAATAGATCATAGTGCAAAAAAAACCAACAGGTTGCTCTCTATGGAATATGAATTTAAACACTTGTACAACATTTTAAAATAAAAATGTTTCAGAAGATCATAAAAGCAGGTTTTCTGAAAGTTTAATTGATGGTTTAAGTTGTTCTGCCCGCAGAAGTGGGTCATTGAGTCTGGGAGTTGCTCGCCCATTTTTTTCTCATGCATTTGATATTCATGTGGTGGTAATATTATTATTTTTTTGTGAGGAGTTAGCGCGGGAATAACAAGAATAGAAACAAGCTCGACGTGGAGTTTTTTCTTACAGCATTGTTCGCATGCAAAAAATGCAAAGCTGCTTTGACGTGGTTCACTTTTTCAAGCCCTTGTTGAGGTAAGCGGTTTAATATTCATGGGTGTTCGGAGCCCCCTCGGTATTGTGACAACGTTTAGATGAGTATATACGGCCCTTTTCTTCTCTATAGTCACAGTCTTCTGTGTTTTTTCCTCTCTTGCCTATTTTTCGGGCTTGATGGACTGGGGCTAAATGGGCAGTTTTGCTTCTTTTCCAGCAGAGAGGACATCTTTATTCCATCCCCGGCTCACAGGTTCCCTATTCAGCTCCCCTCCAAGTAATGTCAGGCCCCTGAAAAGTGCTGCAAATCAATCTTTCATGGTGTTTTGAGGGCAATTTGACATCCATGCACTCCTCTTTTCACTCCAACAACTACAAGGGGATTGTCCGAGAAATGGGCAAGTTGTGCTCTCTCTTTCATTCTCCCTCTCTGGACGAATATGGATTATAATGTAATGGGAAAGAAGATATGGCAACTAAATACAATAGCGGAGGTTTTTTTTTGCTGGGGAGATAGTGAAAAGGCAAGGTGAGTGACAGGGCACGAAAAAAGATTACTGTGAAACAGCTGCTTTTTATGAGCGGGCCCCTCCTACATTTGTCTCCTTTTCCCAGATGAAATTTCTCTGCTCTTTCAATGGGATTCTTTCTCATCTAGATTGATTTACATTTATAGCATTCATCGCACAAATCCGAGGTAAATGGCGGGGGACAGGGGGTGGGGCCGCTTCTTTATTAAAGAGGAATTAAATGAATTGAATTGGGGTAACGCATGGATTTGATTTGCTTATTTATGCATTAACCTATGGCATTATGTGGAGCTGGTAAAGCCGCGGGCATGTCAGCAATAGCAAATCATCCTGCTTAGCTGTTCCATTGTAAAACTATTTAAGCTATTATTCTGTCCATTTAAAGCTTATCAATTTAATGTGGATGATTGACAATTATTGCACAAAGAATGCGGTAATTGTTTTATTTCAAAGAGCTGGTGGGAAACCTATCAAAGAAAATCATTTGTTTGTAGATAAAAAGGAGAATTTAACGCTTATCAGGGGAGAATAATAAAGGGAGAAAAAAGACTCGGTCATGTTTAAATAATACATGTGAACGTTTAAGCTTTAATGACCAAATAACTGACAATAAAAGACGGCTTTGAATATAAAATTCAAAATAACTAAATAAAAATCTGAGATTATCTTGAGATTTTGCTTTAAAAAAATAAAGTTTGTGGCGCTTTAGAAATAATAAAGTAACACCATTTTCTTTTTTTTTAAAGTATAAAAAAACATAAACACATTAAACACATGGCAAAAAATAGTCTTTGTCACATTATGAATCAGTTACTCGCGCGCGCACGCGCGCACGCACGCACGCACGCACGCACACACACACACACACACACACACACACACTCACTCACTCATTAAAAGCAGATTAAGGTGTCCTCCACTGTGCAGGATCAGCTCATCTGTTGCAAAGGTGAGTGAGGTGCTGGAAGTCCCCCCCCCCCCCCCCCCTAAAAGAGCCTTTCCTCCCCCCCTCTGTTGTTGGAGAGAAGGGGTAGTCAGAAAAGACACCTGCCTGATTTGAGGGAGCTTTGTACCTTCATTTACACAGCAAGAAAAACGTTTTTAAATTGTTAAGCCTTAAATATTGAATACAAAAACGGATTCATCCACTGCATTATAAACATTATCACTGAGTGCACGAACATCTCACTCCACATGCATTTCATTCTGTGTGAGTACTGTGTTTATGGACAAATCTGAGGAACATGTAATTTATTTAACATTTTATTTTATATTAACCGTAACTCTCAATTATCCAACTACTTACTTTGCCAACTCAAAATATATATATATATATATAATCAGCTAATAAATCATAATTTCATGTTATAAATTGCAATTAGCATGACCTTTATGAGCTGCAACATTAGTGATATTTACACATGAATATTAATATAACAGATAATACAATCATATAACAAATTATTCTGAAATGAACTTTTTTTGTATACTTTTATTAGATTTTGATGCTTAAACTTTTGTACTTGATATCTATTTTAAATGCAGGACTTTTGGTACTACCTCTATTAAAATATCTGCTTTTAAGATCTGAATACTCTACAGACAATACAAACAATAAGACTCAAAGAGAAAACCATTCATGACTATAAAGAGGATTTTTTTTAAAGAGTGATTTAACCTACCAGTGTTGGAAACTTCAAGTAAAAATACAAGTCTTGCAATTCAAATCCAACTTTAGTAAAATAACAGGATTAGTGTTGGATGAATGCAGCTATTTAAAGTTTCCTAAATAATTACAGTCTATTATGTATTAATACAAAAATGTAGATAAAGTGCAACCTTTCCCTCAGATTTACAGTAAAGTATACACCTACAGAAGCGGCAATGTATCCATTTGAATGTGGAAATAAATGTGCTGTAAGTTTTTTTAAAGTGTATAATATTGTACTTTGATATCTTTGCTCATTTTTTAAAACAGATGTCTTTAATTACAGTTTTGTAGCTTATAGGAAAGTCAAAAAGGCACATGTTGAGAAATGGTTTTAAAATCTGAACCAAAATGTTTTCTTGTTCCTCTGTCCATAATGGAGGGGACACACACTACACACACCTCCTACAGCAAATGCCTGTTTATTTGGAGGGTTCCATTTCTGCAGCTTGAAAAAGGAGAAATAAAGTGTCCAAGAGTGGTCTATATAAATATTAATGTTACCTCTCTCCACATCAGTCTGATCATGGAACGACTAATCATCAGAAGGCCACAGAGGACCCCCGGGTCAGGAGTGTCCTGCGGGACGGTGACTAAAAAAGGAAGAGGATCAAAATCAAGGGCTGGATTTGGAAACAGCTGCAGCGCATCAATGCAGCGGACGGTATGGGGCCGCCAGGTCCACTGTGGCAGGAGACCCCCCGCCCCCCCGCTGAGAGCAAAGATGTGCAGTGACAAAGCTGAAAGAGAGAGGGGGAGGGGGGGTGACGTGCTGCTGCTGGACAGTTAACATGTGCAAGGATGGCAACATGGAAATGTTACAGGGTTTGTTTAGGGAGCAATGAGATGTTGAAGAGAAGGAAATTGAGCAAGGCAGAGATTTAAATGAGACATTTTTTTTATTTTACCCTCAAATCAGAAACAATTGTGTAGCCTACTTGTTAATATTTTTGAAATCATTTGCTGTTCTGTTAATAAAATGCACCTTCTTAAACGTGATTGTAAAGTGCTGCAGCTACCATTAAGAACTTGTACCAATAGTTTTAGTCAGCCACAAGGGAAGCTTGCGGAACATTTATTTGAATGCGAGAACTTGCAATTAACTATAGAAAAGATATATTTTCTGCTTATAAAACATGAGAACAAACAGTTGGCCTATATATCTATTTCTATGCATCATCTAAACTTTTCAACACCAAGAATCAGAATACAACAAAAGTCACATTATTTTTTCACACAATCATCTCTAGCAGTACACAAATGTAGTCTGGATTTGTTTTAATACATTGTTAACTGTACATATAAGGAAAAGAAACAAACACCATAATTAGACATTTAGAAATTATATCCCTTTTCATTAAGAAATGACGTTAATACCAGAATCATTTTTCCATAATGACGCATCATTTATATTAGATCACACAAAGAAATAAAAAAATAATTAAAAAGTTATTAGCATTGGACTGAGTCCAGCACCCCCCGGGGTCCAGAGCAGGGCTCAGGGGGGCGCTGGCGAACTGGGAGGTACCAAATAAGACAGCTTTTGATCATAATACTTAAAACATAAAAATACTATATTAATTATTACACAGGTAGAAGAACAGCGGCTTAGCAGTCTTGAATAGTTCAGGTACAGAACATACACAAATCTACCACTTCTTAATTTTCTTCATAACAAGATGCAACATCAAATTTCAAATCACACATTCACAATCTTTGAACATTTTCAGTACGAAAACAGAACAGAAAAACAGAGGGACAGTTTTCCTGCAACACTGACCACAGGAAAAAAAATATTTTTTTATATAAGTATATATGAAACATATATATTTTAAATTAACAGTCAAATATATGAGCGTATATACATAGTTTTACAAGGTAGCAACGGCAAAGAAGCTATTTGCAACATCCCCCTAAATCCTATCATATCAGATAATTGTAATAAATTATCCATGACATCTATTTGAAAAAAAAAACATCTTAAAACTACAAGTTAAAAGTCGGTCAAAATATTAGAGAATCATCTTTGTTTTCAAAAGTGAAATAAGATATTGCACCTTTTTTTAAACCAGAGTACAATAAAATGACAATGAAAAACAGCATACAATGCACAACAGGAATTAAATAAGAACTATTGCCACTGGCTGACATTATTCCGTGTTTTAAACCGTGTAACAAAAATACATTTCCTGTAACAAAACATCACAGTTTCATTTCACTGAATTATGTAAAAGGAAAACATTTTTAACACATCTTTTTTAAACAATGACATATGACAAATGGTATTCAAGACTGCTAAGCACATAATCATGGTTTCATTTCAACAAAACTAGAAAAAATAGATCATATTGCCTTTTGAAATGTTACAACTCTTGGGTTCATTTTGGCGGGTACAATCTGAGTCAAAGACAGGAAAACATAGAAAAACAAAAACAGCTCTCTCAAGTCCAAAAAGGGATCCCAGATACTGTCTATCCAAAATAACAGTGTACACAAGCATTTAGTAACAAATAACTGTTCCTGATTTTTAGAAATATTACTTTATCATATAAGTCATTCTACAGCTAGTGTTTCTCACTAAGAAAAAAAGTCTTCAAGGCGTTGCAAATCTAAACCCCCTCCGTTAGAAAAGGGCTGGTTTCATCCTCAGTGATTCAAGTCTGTCCCCTGGGCGTCTTCTCCTAATGATCCTGGAGAGGAAACAGTTTGCTCATCATTGCTTTAAATAAATAAACCCATCTGGTTACACTCACATTTGTTCAAACAAAATCTGGTGACATTTTTGATTTTCCTACTTTCAACAAATCACATCAGTAAGAATTGTGTAACAAAGCTCCACTGTGAAACAAACACTTAAAAACCAAGGGACTATCAGAGTTGCTGCAGAACTACTGATGGTTTTAACTGTGCTGTATTCGTTTTCAGTCAAATGTGCTAATAATTACATTTCAACGCTGATTTAATAAGTGACAGCTAAGTGACAGCTGTTTTTGAAATGCACGATTAAAAAAAACTAAAGTAATTGCGTTTATTTTGACTGATATTGCAATTACGATATGATTCGCAATATTGGAGAGTTTTAATTAATTATCATACTCCTCTAACATTGAATAGTATATTGAAGTGATTATGGTGTGTCTTTTGAATAGAAACCGTACCAAACGGTAGAATATGATTTGTAGGCCCGGATATCTCTGCAGCTCCAACATCACTCATTCAAATGTTATTCAACACATTTTTAGCCTTTAAGAAATATTGGGATTCTGGACATTTGAATATTTCACTTGTCCATAATCACAATTTGAATATCATTTGAATGAATTGTGCAGCCGTAGAACCAATGGGCTTTGAGCTGATTGACAAGATAAGAAAGTATTGAGAAAAACACTAACATGGTAGTTTTTTCTTATCATTTTATAGGATTTGTTATCTGCCAGCCTGATCCTGCAGATGTGTGTTTCTCACCTGAAGGCCCGGGGCTTGTGTCTGCTGTGCCTGGCCCTGGTTGAAGTAGGCCACGGGCTGCCTGTAGAAGTCCACCCAGGCCGCGTTGTAGTCAGGGTTAGAGCTCTGCTGAGACGCAGGACCAGCGCTCTGGCCTGAAGAGGAGGAGAGGAAACAACAGTAAGCAACAGACGAGCAGGAATCAAGAGAAAATAAGTCACACGGAGGATTGAGCTAAAACCCATCCTTCAATCCCCATGAGAAAGACTTCCAGCAGCTCTCACCCCAGGCTTTGTTGTACTCGGGAGCAGAGCTCTGGGCTTGGTTTTGCTGACCTGAAAACAAACAGGTTACATTTTGTTTTTTACAATACAAATCTTAACAAAAACTTTTATCCAACCGTTTGGCTGAACAGGGTTTTAAATTAAAGTTAGAAGGATTTATGCCTATAATCTTTCCTAAATGCATGATTGTATCAGGCTTGTGTGAACAGACAATAAAGAGTTTAAGGAAAAATAAATGTGATTGAAAAAAGTTATAGAGTGACACTTAATCAAAAATATACGTTTCTCTTGCCTAGCTTTTTATAATACTGCTCCCAGTCCATCTGGCCCGTCTGGGATCCATTGTGACCTGAAAGCAGACACAGATAATACCAGTTACTGAGAGAGCGCTCTGCTTTTCACCTTCTGCTCTCATCTGTTCCCTAATCATTTCCATCCACGGCACATTTCAAATCTGTCCATAGAGGAAAGAGGTGGTTAGCCACAGGAAGCACAACCATCACAGCCTGCTGCAGACTTTGATTCAACTGCAGTGACACTCAACTGTGATCAAAATAAAATGTGCTTTCAGAGCCAAATGTATGGGCTTCATTCCTTCATTGCAGCTCAATTATATATCTCGGAAAGGATCATATTTCCTTTTTTTGGTCGAAGTGTCTTCACTTACTGTGGTCCTGCTGGCCTTGAGGCTGCCATATTTGAAAAGTTGTCCCCCATCCTCCGGGCATGAACGTCTGATTCCCACTTCAGAAAAAACAAACCGACAATGCAATGTGAGTATTTACCTTAGGAAGACATCTTTAAGGTGTGTTCAGACCAAACTCCAGTGAAAACGCACACTTGAAAGTATTACTTCACCTTTCAAATGACTACTTGTTAAGCAATTTCTCAATCGCATATTACATTGGATTTTGGAAAATATTTAGTTCATCTGGCAAGCCTTCACGTTGATCATTTCATTAACAAAATGCATAAAAAGTGCTTTCACAGACGAGTAGCGCACTTTCAGGTTTACTGTATCTGTAACACATCAAATATATGTTTCAGGACTTACCATGTGATCATTTGGCTTAAGTCACTTTTCCACAAGCCTTCTCCCTTTTGTCTCAGAGCTTCAGGTGACCACTTATGGCAACCATTTTCTCTTCCATTTCCGATATTTGGACGACGTCAGTAGGATATTAAGGCTGAAATGCTTTTGTTACAGACGCATACTCAGTCGCCTGGTGCTTTGATTTATTTGTAATCGGACTGCGTGAATTTTCACCTCCCAGTTTGTTTTGAAAACAGCTTTACAGATGACGTTGTTACACTTAAGTCTGCTTAAGTGCACGTTGTTAGAGGAATGGAGGCTTACTGTTGAGGAGGAGTAGTTGGTCCTTGGTTGTAGGGATTCATCCCGAAGCTGCTGTTGCCTCCCATTCCTGGGCCCTAGAGCGGAGAAAGGGAAGAGGTGGAGAGTGAGAGACCACACTTGTGTTTAAAAAGGAAGCCAACAGGCAAGGTCAGAGGGCAGGGCCGGCCGCTGATGCACTCCATTAAGTCCATTTGATGGATTCTTTATGTTTAACCTCTGGTGACATCCTGCCGGCCACCAGGCCCACAGCAGCGCCGCAGCTCTCAGTGACATGTGCGCTCATGAATATCAGGACACACAATAGCGTTTCGGGCCTGAGCCAGACCACCTACCCCAATTCTCTCATCGATCAGCTGCCGGGCCTTTTCCAACTGCTGAGGGGTGCCTCGGATGGAGAAGATGCGCACGTTGGGGTCGGTGTTGGGCGGCGGGTTTCTCTGCAGCTCCACGTGGGCACGAGACTGCTCCTTGATGTTCTTGATGGTTTCCCCTCCTGGAAGAGCAGCAAGCGATAAGGAAGAATATTAACGGCTGCTAACAATTACTACTACAAATGTGTATTGTAGATTGATCTGCTGATGATTTCCCTGGTCTGAGGAAGTCAGAAATTACAGGAAGATAACAAAGAAAAACACAAAATCCTCACTTTGAAAAACCAATCAATTGTTCAGTTGGCTTCCCAGAGTTTTCAACCAATTCTGTGTCAATTGACTTATTGGTTAATAAACTAATTCTTTAGGTCCCGAATCATACAAACACACATGTTTTTGTATGTGGCTCAATACGGTTGTAAAAAAAAACCTTCCTGATATCAGACATTTGGGGATTTTGCTTCCTCCATTTATTTTAACTTTGCAAAAGCAACCATATGGCGATAATGCCTACTTTACATAGAAATGAGAAAGGAAGCAGGGTTTTTGTTTGTCCCTCTTTTTACGTAGAAATGAGCTAGGCACTATTCATGTTTTCATACGTGTTGCGTCTGAAAACCAAGTGACCACAGACACCACACAGCTTGGTGTTATGCTTGTTTTTGGTCAATAACCCCAGCTTTACCAAGTCTGTAATCAAATGGTTTTAAGTTTCCTGAAGACGTGAATCTGCAACTCATTAATGGGGACCCTAACTCATCTCTACCATCTTCCCCATGTGGCATGAAGCCAGAGAGCCATCACACAGACTCCCTTCACTAAAGTGGTGCGATAGATGCTACCTTATGAAGACTCTGGCTTGTGTCTCTGCACTTATCTACCATTCTGTGGTAACGTCCATGCAAATCGGGAAACAATAGGAGACATCTCCTGCACACCTCCCCCCGCTGCATCAGATGCCAGCTTCCCGACGTGTGGGGAGAGCAATTACACCAGCAGGGAGAAATGAAACATAGCTGGCAGGAGAAAAGGGGACAAAATTGAAGCGTATCCTCCTTCTGGGATATCGTTTGTCTCTTTTAGCCTTTTCATTCTTGACTCGGTGTTGTCCTGTGTGATGAGAGGAGGGAGTGAACAGGGGGCACATAGACGCTACCCCCCTCCACAATACCCATCTGAACCAAAAAGGGCTGAGGGTGCATCCCGGGGGGACACCGGGGCTGTCCCAACATCAATTACACATTTGTTCACTTGTGGCTGACACTCGGATGACCCTGGCTGACCTCCAAATGAAAACGCTCATCAAAAACCTCTCCTCCTCCCCGAGCCTATTCCTTGCTGCCAACAGACTGCACATGGGCCATTAACCCATTGTCAACCAAATGAAACTTCTGCCTTAATGAAGCCATTATGAGCTCTTCTAGTCAGACAGCAGAGAGCAATGAAGACCCTGACTATTCATTTCATGGACTGGGCTGTAGTGAGGGCAGATAATACCATCCTTATTAATGAGACTGGTTTAGTGAGCTGGAGAAAAGGAGGGCACACAAAAGTGCAACTGGTGACCGCATTCAAGGCAACGCCAATGGACTGGTTAGCTGCTGGTGGGGGAAACTCTCAGGCCTCCAGGGAAGAAAACATCCCAGAAGGAGTAACAAGGACAGGTCTAATGCAACTGCAGCTTTGCATTTGGGAGAATGCTGAAAATCAATATTATACTGAAAAGAGTATTTTCGTTATACATATTTAAATCATTAAAGACATAGTCAGTACCTTTAATCAAGAAATAACTATGTTTGCCACCATGGATAGAGTTGTATTGGTTCATTCCTATAACTATCAGGGAAATATAACCCTTTCATAAAATGTGGCTGTCTATGTAGTAGAAGCTAAATAGTTCTTTATATTTCTCTTTTTTTGGAGATATACAAGGCACACCATGATCAACTGTTAATCAAAGGACACACAAAGACAACTGTTTTGCACTGTTTAAGAAAATTCACACATGCAGACAGAAAATGCAAACTCCCCTATGTGGCATTGTGTGGCTCTTGCCAAAGCTCACTTCTACATGTTGACAGGAGGAGCTGGGCATTGAAGCAGCAAGCCTGGGATTAATAATGTTGCTGCTGAGTCACAGAACATTTGACTTTACAATTTATCTGTGAAGCAAACCATTTACACCGATTTGGCATCTCAAATTATTTTTAAAAAACTAAAAAGGCATCACACCAAAATTCCACTTAAAGACAATAAAGAAAATAATTGAATTTTGGCCAAGCATACGAGAACAAAAATCCACTTGCTGTACAATCCGATAGCATTTCCATCTCGCTTCAACAACGTTAGATTGTTCTGTGGAAAAACTACTTTAACTGATAAGGGTACAGAAATGTCAAACTGAAGAGTAAAATTGTATTTAATATTTGCGGTAGACTTCTACAGAGAAATAACACAAAAAGGGTCCTCTTATTAGGTTTTTTATAGAAATGTCTACTTTCAGGTGAAAAAACCCCTCCACTGTCAGATTTAACTGAAAGCAGAGGAAAACCTAGAAAGTGGACCTTTGAATTTTAAGCTCAAAATTCATGACTTTGGTATTATAATGCTCGTTACGGCACTGAATTCATGGCGTAATAAAGTCTGAGCAGATTGGTGGGTGGCTTGATTCGTCAAGCTGTGTGTGTCTGTGTGTGTGAAGGGGGTCAAAACGGAGGGGCAATGGGCTGCATATGGCATCGTAAAGATATTAATCACCGCACCCTTTAAGGGGCGGCTGACAGCACCCAGACCCACCGCCATCCCGACCATATTGGCCCACTTCATATGCTAATGCTCAGAGAGAGGGACGCAACGCCCAGGTTTATTTGTTTCCCTCTCCCCACTACATGCACAAAAGCCACTTGACATTTCTATTGCCATGTTTTTATCTTAGGTAAAGAGGCCCACTCCGAACCCGCCCACAACTGCAAGCACACACACACCAAGGCGACATGCATGCACACACACTACTCACACACACACACACACACATACTCGCAGCCCTTTCCAATGCAATGGTCAATGACTTTTAAATAGCTGGCAATAGAGTGGGCATGAATAGCCAATAAGCTAATTCCTCCTATTCATTCCCTCGCTGCACTCTATTGGGCTGAAAGACCCTCATTAGATGCCAGGCAGCCTTCCACATGATTGAGGGCTGTTATTATGCACTTTTAACAATTAATGTCACATTACACGCATTATCCCCGTCATTAAGCCCTTAGTGAAGCCAATGAATGCCACTTGTGCTGTATACATGAGCCCTGGAGAGAGAATAGGAGGGTGGTCACTCACCCCTCCCCTTCTCATCAGTTTCACGCAGTGGCCGAACACCAAACGGCTTTCAGTTATTAAAAAGAGAAAAGGCAATCTGGCGACTTGCATTATACCCTTATTAAGAGTTTCATATTGATGGACTCTATTATTTCCCTCAGACAGCCAGAAACGGATTAGCTCAGGCACGCTCACCCCTAAAGCAACTTTTAAGTGAGCTAGCAACAACAACAACAAGTATTGGCTATATGCACAAAGAACCACCTAACGGTTCACTGAGGTGCCAAATAGAATACTAGAAACTGAATGGAAATATGTTCTTTACCTTTGCCAATCACCAGTCCACACTTGTCAGCAGGTACTGCATATGTCACCTCCTGCAGTCCTCCAGAGCCTCCACCTGCTCCTCCTCCTCCTCCTCCTCCTCCTCCTGCTCCTCCTCCTCCTCCTGCCATGTTGCAGTCACTTCGGCCTCTGCGTCCCAATACACCTCCAAACCCATCTCGCTCCTACAGGAAGGGACCCAGAAATCATAAATTGGATGAAAAAGTTCAGGCTCCCTGTATACATTCCTTACAATTTAGAGATGATTTTTAATGGATATTTAACAATGGCATTTATTCTTTATTTAAAACTCATAACAGAAACTTTTGCAGTTGATTTGTTTTTACCAAAAATAACTGCAATAGTGGGTTGCATTTTCTTTTTTACATTTTAAATTCCCTTTGGAGGAAGTTTTCTCTGGGCTTGCATAACCAAACATCTTAAGAAATGACCAGAAAACAAACAAACCGTAAGACCAAAAAGTAAGGTTTATTTTGGCAATGTGCCAGAAAATGGTTGCATCTTAGAAACTACAAGGCGCAAAATTAAAGTACAACATCTAAGATATTCCCACATATGTAGTTCAGAAAAACATTTTTTTTATACGGAATACATTTTCTTAAACACAATGTGTTTTATTCACAACAATTTTATATTTCATGTGATCTAATAATGACAGTGTAGCATTTGACCTTTTTTAGACTACATCAAGTAAGTTGGCACAAATGAGTTAACTGGACAGATGTTTGCAGAAGGCAGAATCACTAACCTGAGCAGTTTGGACCAGTTCATTGATGAGATGGACCGCATGGTGGCAGTGGTCGGGCTGACCCATCACCTGAGCAACTCTGTCAGGACTGACTCCATCATCTGGTCCACAAACACAAGGGACACAGAAGGTCTTTCAATGCTCCGAGATGAAATACTAATTAACTTCCAAGTGCTCTAAAATACAAGTTAGTTAAGTCAAATGAGCAAAATACATATATATTATTTTATTTTATTGACTTGCAGGTTTACATTTAAAAACGGAGTGAGTAGTGAATAAGTAGGGATGTCCCGATCTCATTTTTTAGCTTCCGATCCCGATATTTTCATATAGGTTCCGATCCGATCCCGATATTTCCCGATACCGGTTTTCCGATACCGATTTCCGATATCACTTTTTGTGTTGGCAAACAGCATTTACTTTCGTATACATTAAGAAATAGACAGGCACCCAAATAATTTATTAGACGACAAAAACCAGAGTTTTCCACAAGTGAAATTGGCTGGTCGTCCCCTGCTATGCACTCCACAATCAGCTCAGTAATCTTGCGAAATCTCTCGGAGTCTCGAAGAAGTAAAGCTTTTCGTTTCAAGCTGTCCCGCAGTGTTTGTTGATAGAGTCCATCAGTCGTAGACGCTGTCGCTTTACAGTAGGCGGCGTGTTCGTCGGGGTGGTGCTTTTTAAGATGTTTTATTAGGTTTGTGGTGTTGTAGGAGACCCTGTTAGCACCACCTCGTGAGACTTCCACACCACAGACTTTGCATGTCGCAGTCGGCGACTCACTTGTAGTTATTTTAAAATGATGCCAAACTGCAGACAATTTAACTAGCTAACGATATGTGTCCGTTCCACTTTTCCAACTCGATAATGGCGGCTGATGCAATAGAACAACAACGACAAACAACGTAACAACGTAACAATGGAATCATGGGAAATATTAACTATGGATCGGCCATGACATTTAATTGGATCTGCCGATCCCGATCCACCTTAAAACCCAGTATCGGGGGCCGATCCGATCCGGGGATCGGGACATCTCTATGAATAAGTGCTAACTAAAGTATTGGACATGAATACAAATCTGTCCATGAATTATGTGTGAGCTCAATCACTACAGGTGTAAAAGACTTTCACCAACTAGTATTCCCAAACAAATGACACAAGCTGTCTTTAATGCACAGATACATGTTGTTGGGTTTCAAGATTAACAGGGCGACCAGTTCAAGAGATTACACATTACTACTTTTAAATTATATTAACTACATTAGGGCGGGTTTTTATCTTCGTACCTTGTTTGAACTGGATCCTGACCCCAGCATCGTTCTGAATCTTCTTGATCATATCTCCGTTCCTGCCGATGATGATGCCAACAGCAAATCTGGGTACAACCACCTGGAACGATAAGGTCAGTGAGAGGAAAGTCATAGAAGAAGGAGACAAATGTATCTTAGGTTGATAAAGTGATTTCTTACATCCAGACTGCTTCCGCCCATTTTGGATCCAAAGTCTGCTCTGCCGACCCTGAAGTCTCCCTGGTCCTTGTCTCGGATCAGCTTCACCACAAGTTCACGGGCTTGCTATAAAAAAAAGGACACATCTTAATTTCTTATTTCTATTTATTTTACACAATCAAATATTTTGACAAGGATGTGGAACATAACATAAGTCCAGCTGAATTTCTCTTAGTAAACAAAGATGTTTTCAAATGTTTTAGTGGAACACTGAAGTCATAAAATGTGTAAAATTGAGTGTAAAGTGAAAGCTGGTGACACACAGTGAGCTCTTCGGAGACCGACCTGTACTTTGTGGGGATCCCCCGTGATTCTCAGGGGCTTGTCCGCTCCAGTGGGCATGGGGTCATCCTGAATCATTATCATCTGCACTCCTGTTCTCTCCTGCAGGGATACAATCACACACCAAAGAGTTTCCTGGGGCTCAAAATACTGTTCACTCAAAAAAAATAGGTTTTAAAACCACCAAACAGACAAATTCCACATTTTCAACATCCGGTCCTGGAGGCTTTTGGAAATGTGTTATCATTACATCCATTTCTTATAATTCCACATATTTTATTGACTTTGATCCTGAAGCTGGATATCACCAATAAAAGAACAAGGGTCCAAAACATTTTACAACTGGATCCAATTCAGAACCAGATGTAGGAGGGCATCCCCTTTTCAATGTGCTACTCTGCCAAGAATGTGGTTTAAATAACTGAGACTCATCTGCTCCTTTATATTACATGTACTAAACACAGCTCTACTATAGTTGTGTGTTTATCGCAGTCTGTCCCCAATGATGGTCAGAGAAACGTTTGACCATTGTGCCCATCTTTAGAGTTGCTCTGTAGTCTATAGCAGGGGTTCCCAAAGTGGGGGGGGTCGCGAGATGATTACAAATTATTTAAATTATGATTTGTATTATTATTAATAATAACGTGTGCATAGACATTTTTCAGGGGCGGACTGGCCATCTGTAGAATGTCCCCGCAGCGAGGCTCCCCCCGTTGACAATTCACGTGGTGGGGGGTCGCCAGTCTTTGGCACTGTTATTTTGGGGGTCGCGGGCTGAAAAGTTTGGGAACCCCTGGTCTATAGGACAAAGTCCTCTAATATATAATGTTATTTTCCACATTGACTGCAATACTTTATTTGACCTGAACTATGAAGTCTTTATTTTCACAATCGTTGCCCCTGAATGCCAGTTTCTTATGAGGAAAATAAAACACAATTATAATTATTTTATTTAAAGTAAAGGTTAGGGGGAATATTTATTGACTTTTCAGTCTGTGTCAATAATATTAAAAATTATTTTGGAAAATAGCATGTATATGCCCCAAAGGGAAAACATCTTAATCTGATGACAAAGAGAAACTACATTTTGAACCCAGACCACTAGATTAAAAAAGCCTCATGAAGTGTGAAGTTATGCTGTGGGATAAAAAAATTATAGTTTTCGGTAATTTGGCTACGGTGGTAGTCGAAGCTGAGGTTGAATTCCAAAAGTTAAACTGACTTAAGACCGACTAGATAAATATGGTTGTTAAATGCATGTTTTTACAGTAACTTCTGTACATTCAGTGCAGTCCCACACCTGCAGCTGTTTGATGGTCTCTCCTCCCTTGCCGATGACCAGGCCGACCTTGTTTGCGGGGATGAGGATCTGTTGGATCGAGCTGTTGCCGTCCATGTCGCTGTGGAAGCCGGGGCCGTACCGACACTGCTCCACAATCTCACTCAGCAGCCTCTTGGCCTGGCTGTCGGGGGAGGAGCGAGAAATACATTTGTCACCTCATACACAAAAAACACAAAAAAAACTCTCCTGCGTCGCATTTCTCTTTGTCAATGTGAAAGAGGTGTTCAGGTGATTCAGTGACTGATGAGGAGCAGATGTGAAAGAGATTAGGGTTCATGCCCTCTGTGTCTCAACAATAGGGCACACTTTCAGTAAATCTGTCAAAGTTGAGAGGTGAGACTTACTCAATGTTCTCTGGGCTCCCAGTCAGCGTGCAGGGCCGGTCCAACATGCCTCCACTGTCTGCAACAAAAGACGCACAATTAACAACTAACTAAGAACAGAGGTGAAAACTAAAAGACTCCTACAACAGATTTTAATTACACTCCTTGAAACTGCTCTTAATGTTATTCTGTGACCCAAACAGTTTTATGTTGCTCCTTTTATGTCAATTATATCCATACCAAAACACACAATTGTGCCTCATTGGACATGATTTAAGGTGATTACAGATAACTATTTCTTCCATTAATTCATGTATAAACAGCCTTCTACTTCCAGTTTTCAAACATTAAAAGTAGGCAAATATGCAAGTGAAGGAACAATAAGTAAAGAATGTGATTCATGTTTTCTACATAGAGTAAAACCAACTACAGACCACATTTAAAAAGGACACATTCAGCTGTGGGCAAACTTGCCTGCTTGTTCAATCTAAAAACAACAGTCACAAGACTAATTAAAAATGATTATCTGTTGTTTACTACACTGTAATCTGATTACTGACGCTAACGGCCCGTCCACACACAGTCATGACAAAAATCTTGATGCTGGGCGTGTCAGAAGCTTGGCGATTTCACGCGCCCAGGCGACCAACAACCAATCACATGAATCTCCCGCCCCCGACATACAAAGCAATAGCAATGTTAAAACGAAGTAAACTGGATATGAAATCCCCAAACAGGCGAAAACCTACCAGTTTCACCCACTGTCTCTGCCACCTCCCTCCATGCCTGGTTCCTCCGGTTTGTATCCCGGTAAATAGTTCTGGTCGTAAAGAACCGGGTGATTTGCTACCGTAATTTCTCGCTTGGAATATGAGGAAATTAACTGCGGTCTGGCTCTCCCAGCTTGCACGCGGTTTGATTGGCTAGCGCTTGTACTGGCGGGATTTGCATAAACGGGATTTGATTGGCTGACGCCAGCTTCGAAAGCATCAAAAGTTGAACATTGCTCAACTTTTAATGCTCACGATGCTTGCAAAGCCATGCTCCGCTCCCCACAATGCAGTTCGGCGAAGATTAAAAATCTTCTACGTCACCCCATTCAAGTGAATGGGCGAAGCTTTGAAAGATTTTTTTCATGCCTGTGTGTGGACGGGCCGTAAAGGCTACAAAGTGCAACATTGGCGTGGACAAAAGAAATACAAGATTCACTGATCAGTATTGAAAGCTCAGTTCGATACACTATTGATAAGAATTGGAATCATTACACCCCCTAATAATTGTATTCGACCGAAACCAGAGATTTGTTGAACATACATTTGCATAAACTTGAATGGATATTACTTTTGAAAGGTGTAAATGCAAAAAGACTCAAATCTTTCCAACACTACGAAAGGTGAAAAATACAACCAGTCTTTAAAATGGCCCCACATTTTACTGCCTACTTGGTGTGTGGTGGAGGCCTCATTTAAAGCCATGTTTATGACCCCTGGTGAGTCGATGGATATCATAAAAGAATCACACTAGACTCAAGGAGAAACGGGGGATTTAAATAATGTTTTTAATCATAATTTACCTGAAGCTATCTGGATTTTACAACCCGATTCCAGCTGAATTCTTGAGATCTGCTCTCCTCCTTTTCCAATGACTATAGAAGAGGGGGAGAGAACACACCAGTATTAAGCCTTTTGAATTTAGACAGGGGCCTCAGGCAGTGACCCAAAAACTGAGTAGAACGTCAATACTGATGATTACATGTCAAACATTCATTCAGACTATAATGAACTGAAGAGCTACTTACTGAATCCCACCATCTTATCAGGCACTTTGAAGTCTTCTGTAGCAAGAGCCCTGGGAGAGATTAGGACATGATCAATAACACTGGATGACCAAAGAAAAGAAAACCATGTCAAATCAAAAAGTAGGGCCGCTTTTCTGAGCGGAAATTATTTAGGCTGCTACTAAACGTCATCATTTATCGTATTGGTTTATTAAATGTCATATTGAATAGTGCACAGTATAATTGATTTGAGCACAGTTTGACTAATTCAGTTATTTTGTCTGACCAACATCTAAAAACAGAGTTTACTTTTATATAGTCAATATGAAATAGTCACTTTTGAGAAGCTGCCACAACCAGTGAATTTTGATAATACAAATAAAAATTCCTGATTAGTTGAAGTTGTTGATTACTTGTATTACTTATATGGACTAATATTTTCAGCTCTAAAAATATAATTCTCTGGCAGATTTTTTTTATTAAAAGTTTTTGTTTACTTCCAAAATGTGAATCAGAAATCCTTTAATCGTCACACAGAGAGGACATTTACAGAGTTACAGAGAAAGTGCCAAACATTTGCTGCTTACAGCAAATGACGATTTGCAGAGAGAAAAGTTAGCAAATGAAAAAAATCAAGTGTATTACAAATATAGGGCTGTTGAGAAAACACAGAATAATGCATCCTAAAACTACTGAACTGAGGCACAGAGTAAACACCAGTAATACATAAAGGGCATTTAAAGGAACATAAACAGGGATGTGAGTATTTCTGCTCACCTTTGATGTACCATTGCACCGAGGTGGTTCCCTACTGAGAGAGGTGAGAAAACAATTAAAATGTAAGATCATGGTTGAAGATGAATACTACTTTGAATATCTGTGGAAATGACACTGAAGCAGAATAAAAAGAGTGCGTCATGTCTGGAGGGGACGGGAGCAGATGGATATGTTTCTGCCAGTCCTTCGTGTTTGTGTCTGACCCGCAGCGGGGGGCTTTCAGCCGCATGGTAATCAGGCCTGTGAGTGTTTGAGTGAGTGTTTCAATCAGAGCCGTTCAGAAGAGAGAGAGTTCAGGTCAGCGGCTGCTGGTCCTGAATTGAATTTCGACATGTAGCACCAGGCAAGGGGCCTGCAGGGTCAGTGGAGGATGTGCTGCCATGGACATGAACACCTGAGTTGATATCTAGCAACTTCAAATCAATTTTATGGTCGTTTGCACTGATTTCACTTCCTCTGGAAATGCACCGGGGTTAACGCTTGAGAATGGAACAGCTATGAATATAAAGCAGGAGGGTGCACCGAATTCATACAAAGACAAGACGGTAAAATAAAGTCTATTTGTATACTTTGTAGGGCTGAACCAAGCGTCCCTTTTTTTTTTTCTCCATTTGAAGATTCTGTTGAGGTTTTTTTGAATTGTCTGTTGCCATATTTTGAAGATATCATCAGCCAAAAATATTTTTTAAAAAGGCAAAAAACACCAAACAAAAAGGTCAAATATTTTAGAAAATTACTACATCGTTTTTTACAATATACTTGGACTTTTTTTTACTTTAAACACTCACAAATGTTAAATATTGTGCCACCCACACTGGAATCTAGTTTTTAAAAAAGTATTATACTAATTATATTGGTGTCAAAAAATTATAAATAGAAAAGCATTACAAAAACGTTAGAAAGTTGATTAAAAACAAAAATTACAACTTTATGTATTATGTTTTGAACTATTTGACTAATTCAATAACTTAATAGTGAGCTAACTCAAGAACTAGAAAGATACCAATTCTGTTATTTCACAAGTATTTGTGGACAAACTTCAAAGAAGAAAAACTGAGGACAAATGGTTGAAAACAACAGTGCATCAAATAAAGATAAACCAGAACTGCAACAATTTATCTATCCATGCATTCAGTGCTGGACATCATTCAAACAACCGTGACAAGATAACAGGAGGACGGGATAAATGACGACCGCTTCCCCTTCATGGATATGAGATGGATCAAATCTGTGTTATGTGTGCAGGCACAGCAAGTAGAATCTTCTTTCACTACACTGCACCGTCAGATACTTAATACTCCAAACAAATATGAAAACACAAAACCATGGCTCTAATTTCAGAGTGAGTAGTAACTGTGGCTTCATTCCCTCCAACACATGTAATGTGCTTTATTATCCCTCCTTGAGATAACCTTTAAAGTGTACCTTGTAGAGTTGCTGACCACTAGGTATGCAATGGAAAAACCCATTGTGCGTTTTGTTCAAAGCCAGGTATTTGCATGAAGAATGTGTCAACAACTCAATGGTGGTCAAATTACTTCTCCATTGTTGTGGTTCCTTATAGAAATAAAAACCAGTTTAGTTCATTTTCCATTGGCTAGTCAGTGCCCACACACATTACAAATTTAGTTTGTAAGTAGAGATACTAAGCAAGTAATCAGTGTTGTCTGTTGATGGATAAAAAAAAAAAAAAAGAGTGTCCCTACCTTCTGGAAAAGAAGACGATCAAATAAATATAAATACTTTACAATTATTTCATAAGCAAACAAATTTATCAGCACATTAGTAAAGACTAAAGGGGACACATACATGCACGTTTTAGTGAGTTACCAAAAGGTAAACAAAAGGTTGTTATTATGTAGGGGCCGTTTTGCATACTTCACAAGTCTCAAAAAAAGTGAAATGCTACATTGGGATATTTCCTTAATTGCTCCAAACCATCACTGTTGAAGCTTTGGTTTGAACTGAAATCGTGTTCATTCACAACTTGTAGCTGACTGGTAAGGGAAAGATCCTTCCCAAACTGAAAAAATAATAGTCTGAACAGCTAGAAAATGTATGTTAGAAAGGATAAAAGCTAAAGCATTAGACAGAGTGGTTGCGAGTATATAAATATATCAGGACATTCAGCCGACATGCACCCGTGATAAGCATGTGTGTGAGGGCTTACCTCCATTGTCTAGTGAGCGCTTTTGGCCTCCAAAGCCGTAGAGGGAGGGGTCTATGACCGGAGGGGAACTGTTCATGTTGGGCATCTGGTCTCCTCCCATCTTGGCTGCCATCTGGAGACCCAACACAGTAAGACAGATGGAATAAAAGGTGAAAAGTGGATATGTGATGATATTCTCTTTGAACGCACATTTCCTTTCAGAGACAACCCTTCATGATGAAAGTGACACATTCTCTTTTCTTACTGCTTTCTTAAAAGCATCACGTTAGCTGTGAAATTGTGTTATCTTTTTGACAGCAGCTGAAAACTGCACTTTGTAAATCATTACAGCAGCTAGAAGGAGACTGCTGTAGTTCCTGTTGAGGCTACCGCTGCTTTCCACAAAACATCCGTCATGGGCCAGCTATCACTGACTAACATCACTTTGTTATGCTTGCACTGACAGACAACACGGATCATCACAACACGTCAATTACTAAAACAATTGGATTTGCTTGGAGACAAGTTGCAAGAAAGTTACAACCAGTTTTTACAATTAAATAACTTTATCAGACGGCAGAAAGGGAAGTGGGAAAGTTGACTAAATGCAGCAAAGGAGGAAAGACGTTCCCCCGCATAAAACTTCAAGACGAGTGCATTACGGCTAAGTTTAAGTAAAAACCAATATATGTCTACTTTTATAATGATCCACTTGCCAGCCTAAAGTAGATGCTTGAGCTGTGCCGTGATGGACATTTAAATCTGCACAAGAGTGCCAACAGCATTTTCCACTACCCGTTAATCTGCCACCTCTTCATCCACACTAAAGTATAGCATTTCAGAAAATTACACAAAATTGACATCTGTGCCCGACTGGAATTTCTTTCACAATATGAAAATATCTTGACAGCAATTAAAGTCCTCCATCACCTTCAGGGATGATTATCTACTTCAGAGAACCACCGGTGGAAGTGAGAGGGGAGCGGTGGAAATAAAGACACAGAAAAGGAAGCAGGTGTGTGGGGTTGATGTTTTCCATGACTTTTCTGTAGCTGTGCATGTCAAGCAGCCTGGAAAGCATTTGAGATGGAAAAATGCTTACATTTTGAGTGCAATTAGTGTTATTCCCAGATATGGTTAACTACAGCTGGGTAGATACCCGAGAAGCATCTACCCGAACACCTGCTGGTTTTAAAACCCGTTTTTATTACAGAAAACTGTAGGTGTATGTTTTCATTGTTTTAACAGTATTTTTAGCGATATATTGAATTTATATCCCAGGTTTTGTTCAGAAGATAAAGGGAACTTTTTATTATTATTTACAAGCCTAAGTGACTTGTGGTGTTCAAATTGCTATCGAGTCATCATTGTTCTGCACATATCTATTGCTTGTTTAGTGAGAGGCAAATATGAAGTAATTTTCTTTCTTACGTTTATCATAAACCAGGGCTCGACATTAACGACTGCCCGATGGCCTATCTAGTATTTAGCTCGGGCAATGAAGCCTCACCTGCTGGTTGCCCGATCGGGCAATGAAGCCTCACCTGCTGGTTGCCCGATCGGGCAATGAAGCCTCACCTGCTGGTTGCCCGATCGGGCAATGAAGCCTCACCTGCTGGTTGCCCGATCGGGCAATGAAGCCTCACCTGCTGGTTGCCCGATCGGGCAATGAAGCCTCACCTGCTGGTTGCCCGATCGGGCAATGAAGCCTCACCTGCTGGTTGCCCGATCGGGCAATGAAGCCTCACCTGCTGGTTGCCCGATCGGGCAATGAAGCCTCACCTGCTGGTTGCCCGATCGGGCAATCTATTATGCCAGTATCATGCAGCTCGCGGATCCAGTAATGAGTGACCCGACAGTAGAACTAAACATATCTATAACTAGTTACGGTAGTTTGAGAGGTAATTAAAATAGCTACGTGTGATATTCTAACCTGAAGTGTGTGTTTTGTCCGCTCACGCTGCATGTGATCATGCAGAGCTGCGTGTCGACTCGTCAGCAGCAGCTGATCTCTCTCTCCCGTCAGATTAGACTTCACTCGCGTTTATGTCCATATCGATCAGATCCAGCTAGTTCTAGCTAATGATATGACTACCTGCTTATTAAAAAGACACCTAAACAATAAGTGTCGCTATGCAACCGGGTGAGGCCACAAAGTATAGCGCAGCATTATGCATTTGTTTACATGCCCACCGGAACCCCGAGGCATTACCAACAGATCAACGCACAATCAACCCATACAGGACATCTTTCTCCACATTAAGTGTTAGACATTAGAATTGATTATTCATGTCTGTCACATACTCTTCTTGTCTGTCACATAAGTGGCGCAACTGAAGCGGTATTGCGCTAAAGGGAAATTATTTTGACTGGACATTTTGACCAAAGAGATTTAGATTTGCCGGCTAACGGGAACTCTGACGTCGCCATTTTGTGTGCTTCGCGGATGCGCTCGGCTCCTCTCGACTGCTGCTCGGGTCTGCTCGGTCAGCTTCCGGATGAGGAGGCATTCGTTCGACCAACTTACAGTAGATAACATTACAAACATTTTTAACAGGGGCCATAATAGTGTAAATAATAGGGATGCTCCGATCGGCAATTTCGGGGCCGATCGCCGGAATCAGTATCGGCCGATACCGATCGCCGATCCGATCGAGTGGGCGGGGCCTAAATGGAAGATTTAAACATCACTTTAAATCTTCCATTTAAAGTGATGTTTAAAACTCAGTTAATGGGGCTCATTCACTGGAGCTTCCACAAACAACAATCAACTTAATTATTACATTCAAATGATGTACATTATTCAAGTTTACATTCACTTTGGATAATAACACGGGAGAAATGAGCGGAAGCGCTCTCTTTTCCTCTCTCCCCCCTCTGACAGCCTGTCAGTATCTCATGCAGCTCACTGATCCAGTAATGAGTGACCCGACAGTGAAGAATACATATATTTATAATGACTAGTTTAGCTTGTTCCAGAGGTAGATAAAATAGCTAAGTGTGTTAGGTAGGGGTGTAACGGTACACGTACCCGTACCGAAATTATTCGGTACGGGCCCTTCGGTTCGGTACAAGTGTGTACCGAAGTGTGCCGAACGAATATAACGTTAAACGTAAAAAATTGAGAACGTGAATAACTTTTTGGAAGTAATCTCAGGTACTGCGTCGCAGCATTCAGAGTAATTTGCTCACATTGGGTTCAACGCGTCATAGAGCGAGCAAGTCATTTCATTGGATGAGCTGGTCAGAGGGATGCGTTCAAATGTAGTCAGTAATTTGAGGAACTGTCAAATTAATGGCGAACGCAGATAAAGTTGAGCTCGAAAATCCTCCAGCATCATTGAAGTCTCCGGTTTGGGAACATTTTGGTTTCGCAGTTACGTACAAGGATGACGGACAAAGACAGGTGGACCAAACCAAAGCTGTTTGTCGGCATTGTTCAACTAAAATTGGTTACGCGGCTGGCAATACATCAAACTTGCACACTCTTGAAAAGGCATCACCCGAACGTGAATATCACCGGTACCAAAAGAAAAAAGACTGAAGTGCAAACCCAACTCCCGCTAGCATGTAAGCCTCCACCACTCGCAGAAAGATCAGACCGAGCCAAAGCTATTACAAACACCAAATATCCTTATGTTGCCATGTTAGCAAAGCGCTACCTGGCTGTATCTGCTACCTCTGTCCCTAGCGAGAGGGTTTTCTCCACATCAGGAGACATTGTTAGTGCCAGCAGATCTGCCCTTTCGGCAAGCAATGTGGACAAGTTAATTTTTCTTTAAAAAAACATGAAAATACAATGACAAGCAAGTTCTAATGTCAAACTGGTTGCTTCGGTGCTAGTACAGTTCAAATACAGATTATTTCAGTTCATCGAAATGCTGCACCTTAATGTTTATTTTATTATATTTTGTATTTATTTGAGTGAATATTCAGTTTAATAATAATAATAAAAAAATTCTGCTGTACCGAAAACGTACCGAACCGAGACCAAAAAACCGAGGTACGTACCGAACCGAAATGTTTGTGAACCGTTACACCCCTAGTGTTAGGTCTAACTCTTGTGTGTTTCGCTCCGCTTACCGGTCCGGCGGGCGGAGCTGCAGGATTTCTGCTTCACACACACGTTGCATACCGCTATTTTACTGTCTTTTTCGGACACCTTAAAATACTGCCAGACCGGTGAAGCCATTTTGGCGAGCTTGTTTTGCCGCACACAGAGAAAAGTGTCATGTATTTTACGTCATGCGATCGGTTCTCGCGATCGGCATGTTTAGAGAGCACCGATCGATCGGGAGAGAGTGAGTATCGGCCGATCTCGATCGGTGACCGATCGATCGGAGCATCCCTAGTAAATAATGTTTGTTTTGGCAGTTATAACTGAATGTAATGTTTTCTACTTTTTTACATCTGGGAAGGCATTTGCCTTCATCAGATGGAAAGTGTCTTGACCAACTTAAGCATTTCTTATAGCTATGCAGGGCATGCAAGCGAGCAAACACAAACAAGAACAAACAAACAAGTGAAATGAAGAATACAATTGAAATTGTACAATATAATATTGTGGTGGTTCATCTTATAATTCAGTCTAGAAAATGCACCAGACAGCATCTAAGACCTGCAAAAATCTAAATGTTCTAGGGGGAGGCCCCCCAAACCCTTCATGCGTCATTTCGTCCGCGCGCATTTTTCAGGGCAATCTCTATTGGGCTCAGGGCCATCTGTAAATTAGCTTAGATGGCCCACAGGGCCATCTCCCAACATCCTTAATGTCATGCACTGGAAACACTTTAATCCAAATGCATGCATCTGTACAGAGCCCAGCTTGATAGCACTTTTTACATTATAAAGAGGTTATATATTTGTCCTACGCCCTAATTACGCAAGACAATGTCCACAGTGGATCAATCTTAAATGCACGATTTAAGTTATAGTATATACACAGGAAGAAAAATAGCTTTTACAAAAAGATGCCAAGTCTAATCAGTTATCTCTAAGCACCACAGCGCAGCAGTGTCAAGTATTTATGAGCCAGTATTAAATCACTTTGATTAACTTTTTCCTCTCGTCAGAACAACTAACTGTTTATTTGTCTTTAAAACATAAACACATAAATATGAACAACAGAATAGTGCTGTATTAAAAACAAAGTAAAGGGACAGAGAGCAGCAGTGGGATAAAGGGCGAAGATTCAACAGACGTGTCGGGTTGTAATCTTAGCTGTGATTTGCCGTTTTTTATTAACCGACTGAAAATGAGGAAAGACAAGTGATTCAACCATTTTGCTACCTTTCAGGTGTTTCACTGTGGCAGGACCTTTATGAAAACATTACTGTTGACAAATGTGGTTTATATTTATTTGTTTAAGTTTAGTGTAGACTGGGTCTTAAGTATAATGATGAATTAAGCTCGTTTGAAATCACATACAGAAAACAGAAATCTTTCTTTATATTAAAAAACAACAACACTAAGTATACATATGCACTAAGCCTGCCAGCTTAGAGGATTAAAGCCCTTAAACTAACTAGGACAAATGTATCTTGTCTAATTGATACAGATTCACGCAAGTGTACCTCAAATTATAAAAAGAAGCATTTTTGTATACATAAACACACACACACACCAGAGGCAGCAGTCTGGTGGATTTAGTGACAACAAACGCCTTTTACAAACCTTCTGACAGTTCAAACCTGTTGACTTATACTGAGGCCTCTGGGTAAACACCACTGAGGATTGGATGAAAATCCTGTGACATGTGGTCACATGTGGAACCAAAGTATGTATAGTTTATATTTAGGGTCCAAGAACACCTTGTCCATTGGGCAATGTGGCACAACTGTTTTGTCACCAATCTACTTCACTATTCATGACACTCACTACTACTACTACTACTACTCACTCATGTGGTCTTCTTTAAAATAATGTACTTTTATGTTTATTATTGATTTACAGAGAGCTATGTCAATCCTAGTGTTTAAGATCGGGATAGGTACATTTAATGACACAAAGGTCCTGGAAATAAACATAAATAAATACACATAACAATAGCGACAAGCAGGAGGAAGAACGCTACAGGAAAATGATAGGCTTACTGCCTAGGAGGTCAACATCCTGTGATTTAGGCTAATGAGTTAATGGACTTTTTGTGTGCTTTGGTTTTGCCGGCTCTAATAAAAGTTAGGTAGTAAAACAAACACTGAACATTACATGAAATGCATTACAAAGCAGTGCGTGCATCTTAAAGATTTAAATGTATGGAGTGTAAAGAATCAAAGAACAATCTTCCACTTCCTATTTTTGAGACTTGTGCCACATGGATGTCATATGATAACATGCAAAACCACTTGACTAGTTATGTTTCTATAAGGTAAGTAGAGGTAAATCCACAAATTACCATCAGACACAAATGGGCAGACATAAATAGCCAGTATGCAAGTTATTCTGAGGTTTATCTTTGACTATTAACGTCAGTATCAATGGCTTTCTGCAATTAATGATGCAAGAGTGAGGTTACTGCCCACAATTTAATCTCGTATAACCTGTTTTATGATTGCTAAGAGGTGACATGTTCCTGCAGCTTGTGGTTTTGATTTGACATCTTGTCAAACTGCTTATGATCATATGTGTGAGAAAGTCTAAGGAGATGTCATAGGGGGCTTTAAAAGCATCATGACATACACTTAGACATGTATGTGAAATGTCATGTTTTAAAATGGGAGTACAATTAAAAATTAAAGCAAATGTCCTAAATTATTGCTTAAGATTAAGGGGTTCAAAAATGCAGGGACATTTCATTTGTTCATATGTTAAAATATACACAGGGGAGCTCAACTGGTAGCTGTATGACTAAAGTCCAATTTACAAACTATTAACAGCAGCAGTGTGTACTTATCTTCTATTACAGCATAAGTACTGTGACCCTCTCTGCTACAGTCACTACTATCTGAATATCAGGTAAACAGGGGAAGAATTGAAATACAGAAAGCTTTTTTAATGAAATGTTCAGGTATTTTCCGGGCAGCAATGGAAAAATCCAAGTGAGCTCAACAGGAGGAGTGGAGGGGGGCTTCTTTGAACAGATGACGTTACATTACATACATGGCCTTACTCCAAGGCTGCTGCCATTAGGACACAGAGTACCACACACGCTAGCTAGCTAACACAAGCTAGCTTCCACACGTGATTTATATTACGCTGAAAATACGCAACACGTTTTATACACATGGTTATTTGTAAGTTGCTGAAGGGAAATGGTGGAGTGTAAGCGTTAGTACTGCATGTGATCACTGATTAAGCTCAGTGCGTCTCTTTAACTGGGGCAACAGCCGGTTATACTTCAGCTAACTGAGGACTTCAAAACTAGCACGCTAACTTTTTGACAGCGTGTCCAGGCTTCGTGTTTAACCTCATTATCATCTTTGGTCACGTTGTGGGTCGAGCTGCAGGGTATCAAACTTCTGATAGTAAGTTAGCATGCTAAGCTAACTGCAACTTATGTGGCTTGACAACAGGTTGCAGTTTGTCGGCTTAACTTACAAAAGTTGCACAAACTTCGACATCACAAGAGGCCTTCGTGTTTTTGCGTGTGACATGGCTTTGTGTGGTGGTTTTGACAGCTTTGACACGGCTACTTAACACGTCTTCTGTCCCGAGTTAACTCTAATCTGTCCCCTCAGCTATGCTCTCTAGGCTACTTAACGTTAGCTTGCTAGCTAGCTGGGTGCATGCATGAGGAGTGTTTGTAGTAAGGGGGGTCCTGGGTGACCAAAGTCCTGCCCAGCCCAGCTGTCAAACTCGCTGTCTGCGGTCCGAAAGCGGTGACCGTGTGTCCGGTTTTACCTGTCGGACCCGGCGTATTGTGTCTGCGAAGTCATCTTTCGTTCCGGGCTGAGCCACCGAGGCCTGTCCCTGAACCAGCTCCGCCATCATCATCATCCGCCTCGGCAGCTGAGAGCCACACTTTAAAAAAAAGAAAAAAGGAGCTGCACACGTGCCATGCCAAAGCATCGCGAGCCACAAGATCTCGCGAGATTCATCAAAACCCACACTTTAGGAACATCTTTTACCATAACATTTTATACTAAACTAACTTTATTTTTTGGTAAAATCTCACATTCAAAATAAGAAATGGATTGACTGTAAACCAAATGTTCCACATTTGTTGTTAGAATTACAACAACATGGCACCACCATTAAAAATTAGGCTATATATTTATATATATGTATACAGTCTATGGCTATAACCCAATGTTTGTGTGTTTGATAAATATTTTTACTTGAAATGTTACCATCACAATTTTCTTTATATCTCTTTCTTTATTTCTTTGAATATTTCCTTTTTTTAAAAACTGTTTATGTGGTTAACCCTGTTTTGTGTGTATATAATTTTTGATGTATAGATTTTTTTTCTTAAATAAAGTTAAATGAAAACATGTTCATGTTTACCATAACAAGAGTGTATTTTGTTTTTGTAACACAAAATAAATATGTTTAGTTACCATGCCTGATTGAAATGTATTTAATTGCTATATTGAATTGGTTAAAAGTCTTAATAAGTGAGAAACTAAACAGTGTAGGGCCTAATACAAACATAATTAGCTTGTTTAGCTGCAGAGTTTCTCAAAGCCCAATATGATATCTGAAAAATGATTTTTATTTTTGTTCTAAACTTAATTTCAAAGATATTTGAGTTTACAATGTTATTGAAATACAGGGAATCAGCTTATCATCATATTGGAGAAGCTGGATCCATTTCAGCCTCAATATAGGCCTATACTCAATTTGCTTAACTTTCCATACATGTAAATGGTCATGAAATAAAACAAATTAAAAAACTATTATTAGAAAACAGATTATAAGAAGACATCATTATATACCAACATCCAGGATGTGATGCTTACTGATGCCTTCATCAAATTTCTCTTTGGACTTTCTGTCATTCTGAGGTTACACAACATCAGCAAGAGTTGCTTTCCAAAATATTGCATTGAGCCTATATTTCTAAATTTACTGAGTTTCCATAGTGTTGTAAAAAAACAACAACAACAACAACAACAGAGAGCCTCAACTTACATCACACAGCTCCCTCTACAGAGCCACATAGATGTTATAAACATATTTTTGCTATTTATAGGCCCTAACAACGCAAGCTGTCGAGTCAGAATAAAAATAAATCCCATCTAACACAACAGAATGAACATTGTGGAATATTGTTACTTTTCTTCCTTGCTGAACATGTGGAAACATCTATTGATGCACATCTGGAAAATGCCAGCAGCCAGACAGAAGAAAGTAACATTGCTGCACATTTTCAAACTGTTTATGCAAAACTGTTCCTGGCCCATAAATTGTATCCAAACCTCAATGAGAAAAGTTCAACCTTAAATGTGTGGTCCAACAGCTTTAGAAACAGTTATTTAGGTGTTTAGCTTTTCTTCAGGAATAACGCATCAGGATCATTTTGGGACCTATGAATAGTGGTGCCTTCGACCTGATATTAAAGGTTTCAAATCTATCAGATCTTTTAGGTCAAAAACATGAAACGGCATAAGCAATACAAGTAAATGCACTAGCCTAAAGCTTATAATATATTTGATAACATGTGCAGTTTGCTAACACTTATAACTGCAATACAACATGGTCCTGCAGCTGCTTTAAAAGGGACAATTGACCTCGAACTTGAGACAAGCAGATTGGCATGTTGTATCTTTCAGACATTCATTCATACAGATATCAATTTCCCTTCCCTGTCAGCCCGGGGCATTTTATCACCTCCAAAAAAGAGGCAAGGAAATTAAGTGGGAGCTGAAGGCTGTTCCCAGGCCAGCACCTCTAAATGAAGACCTCCAATTTAGCATGACTGAAGTATGATCCCAGCTCCGCTAACATATTGCTACCATGTGCGGTCCAATGTCTTCAAGGTGGCTGGGAAGTGATTTTAGAGCTCTGATATCAAAGGGTGGTCGTCATATACAGCCTGCAAATACATGCATATAAATAGTTATTATGAATTCAGCCCCATTCTGGTGTAACACCGTGGAAAGTAAAGGCAGTTGAAGCAGGTGTGGGTCTCTGGCATCCTGCCGATCGAACGGTGGGAATTGAGTTAGTGTTGACCAAGCCTGTGTGAATTAGATACCGTAGCAGACTGATCAAGTGACACACACACACACACACACACACACACACACACACACACACACACACACACACACACACACACACACACACACACACACACACACACACACACACACACACACACACACACACACACACACACACACACACACACACACACACACACACACACACACACACACACACACACACACACACACACACACACACACACACACACACACACACACACACACACACACACACACACACACACACATAGCTTCCTCTCCGCCATTGTCCTGCAGAGAATAGCTTCTTGTTCACTGTCATCAATTGATCCTATCTTCAGCAAAGCATTTCAGTCTCAAGATTTGAAAGTTCAAGAAATCACCATATCTTTTTGAATTATTTTCATTTCAATAAATGATATAAGAAAATCCGAGGTTTTATGGTTAGACAGGTGAAATACATCCCCAGCTGGACAACACAGCATTTATATATATAAAAAAAGGAACATCAATATTAGCACACTTACTCTTTTTAACTGAGCTTTTACCTCCTCCTTTCTCTTCCTCAATCTCAAAAGAACAGGCCACATGAAACTGTAATTGCTTTATAATTGCCACGGTTCTGCTATGGGCGTACATTTCTAAAGGCAGGATACAAGAAACGGATAGTGTTTCATCCGGAGACCTCAGAGGTATCCCTGCTCAGCTTTCATTCATGAACACATTGTTGGTGCAGGGGAAAGCAGCACATTAAAGAAAGTGCGTGTAACATGTTCATATTTGAAAAAGACATTGGACACATTTGAAGTCTAATCTGTAGCATCCTTTAAAACTTGCATTAGTTGTGCCACTTTACAATGTATTGTTCTAGCAGCAGTCAAATTATCTATTTGTTATGTAGATTTGTATGAACTTTTGCAGTAATTCAGAAATATACATACTTTGCTAACTGAGTTTAAATCTCTGTCAGTGAAATAAAAATAAGAATATCAAACCTGTGTTAAGGTTAAGTGATAATGCATCAGCAACAGAAAGCCACAGACTGAAATAACAAAACAAAAGAGATTAAAAGGGCGCTTTCTGCAAATAAAAACATAAGAAAGTGAATAAAGAGAACAGGAAGTTGAAGTAACATAAAGGATAAACAAACAACAAATGTAAACAGTTTTAAAAAGTTGTTGATCACGTCACTTCTTTTAACTGTATTTGCAAAATGTGTGTATTTTTCTTGTCTTGTATCTTCTGTCCTTGCTTTTGTATCTTGTTGTTTGCACCTGATGTCCATCCCTATATTCTTTTGATAACCGGGACACACAAGGGAACACATGTAGTTTTCTATGAGCTGCACTGAACTGTAGATGGAGGACAATGACATCCCTCCCGTCTTATCTTATCTCTTATCTGTTCTTGAGGGAGAAGATTGACAGATGAAAAGGATAAACAGACCAGCTTTGTCCAATAATAGGACACATACACTTCTACATCCTTGTTTTTACCTCTCTTCTATTTCACTTTGCAGCCTCCTCCTCCTCCTCCACAAGCCACTTTGCTTTGATTCAGCTCTGTATCTGTATTTTAAATGACTCAATTACATGGGATCCCGCGGTGAAAATTACGGATGTTTTCCACTATTTCTCTCCACTGGGACACCATGACCCCTCCCTGGCTCCAATAACCGCCTTCCTCCTCCTCTTTCCTTCATCCCTTTCTCCACCTGTCCCATTTTCCTCCTCTCCCACTGTTGCCCAGCCATCTTCCTTATAAATGTTTACTTTGTTGCGTGTTTCTGCGACTGAGAGGGAATAATAGCTAAATGGTCTTATTTGTGAGCTCTCGGCACGGTGAATTGACAAAGAGTGTTGTTGCAGGTAATTCTGCCGCGACCACACAACAAGCCTCAGAAAATAGTTTCTTAAGGATAATGGTTCCAACACAAACACCAGGCATGACAAAAATAAAAGCACATCAACAGGCAGGGTGTAGCAGAGATGGACAGAGTGTTTTTTTTATTCATCCAAAGCAAAGCAGTGTTGTGATTCTTTCACAGCACTTTAAGCCCCCCAGTTTACGGGGCTCTGAGGCTTTTTAAAAGTGGAATCTATCTTTGATGCTACTCTGTTGGTGCTGAATCTGCTTTCAGCACAAAACCCTCACCTACTGCTGTGTCTTTCATACTCACTGAGGTGCAAAGCGGCAAGTAATGCTCAACAAAAGTATACGGTTGGAACAGCTTTAAGGTGGCAATGCATCCACAAGTCCCATGAAGCAAAACAAGTCTTTCTCGTTTCACGCAAACAAAGAGGAACAGACTATACTTGTTTTGACTCAAAGGACACAACAATGTGTAGCAGTGACAGAGTGATGCCCTGAAGACAATGCATTACATTTTGTTGAAATTACTACTTTTTCTTTTGCATGCTTTATTAACTTTTACACTGAAAATATAAAACATTGACTTTAGTTAACCCTTGTATGGTATTCGGGTTATTTTCTCAAACCCACACTCAATGGCCTTGGCTAAGTTTCAGTGAAGAACATATCACCCCCTGTGTAGGTTATGTGTGTGTGTGTGTGTGTGTGTGTGTGTGTGTGTGTGTGTGTGTGTGTGTGTGTGTGTGTGTGTGTGTGTGTGTGTGTGTGTGTGTGTGTGTGTGTGTGTTAGTGTGTGTGTGAGACTGTTGTGTTTCTGCCCCTGCCATTCAAGGTTGCAACAGTGTTGATAGATTCAAGCACGGACACCTGTCTGCTCTCACATTCCAGCATTATGTCTTGCGGGAACCAATCTTTTTTTCACACTCTATCCAAGCTGCACATTTGGGGCGAGACACAATAAATAAAGCTTCGCCAGTTTGGGTCCTTAT